TTCATATGGGGTAGAATTTAATTTCTTATGAGGAACTCGTTTCAAGATATGAGTTGACGAAAGAACGGCTTCCCCCCACATGTTATCAGATAACCCTGAACTTATTAGTAAAGAATTCATTATCTCTTTTAAAGTTCTATTTTTCCTTTCGGTTATACCATTCTGTTGAGGAAAATAGGGGGCTGAAGTTTCATGAATTATGCCATTCTTTTCACAAATATCTTTTAAAAAATTAGATCCATATTCACCACCTCTATCAGATCTAACCCGTTTGATTCTCCTATCTAACTGATTTTCAACTTCTGCCTTATAAATAAGAAAGGAGTTTTCAGCTTAATCTTTAGTCCTTAGGAGATAAACTTTTGTATATCTTGAATAATCATCTACAAAAGTTATGTAGTAGTGTTTTCCTTCTTTACTTGCAGTGTTTCTAAAATCTGCTAGATCAGTATGAATGAGTTCTAATAATTCAATCTTTCTATTAGAAACAGTCTTAAAGTGAGGTCTAGTATGCTTAGCTTCTACATAAATCTCACATTTGTTAAAGCTAGTTGTGTCTAGTTTAGGCAGCACATTCATATTCATCAATTTCTTTAAAGCATGAATATTCACGTGTCCTAATCTAGCATGCCACATATCAATGGATTCAACAATATAAGCAGAAGTGGTAACTTTATTTTCATTAAATTGAGTTTCTATGACAAATAAACTATTGCTTAAAAACCCTTTCCCAACATAACCACCATTTCGGGAAAGTACAAGTTTATCTGCCTCAAAAACTAACTTAATGCCTGCCTTATTCAGAAGGCCACCACTTATCAAATTTCTACGCAAGGCAGGTACATACAGAACATTATTTAAAGCCAGAGTTTTACCAAAAGTCAGCTTGAGTAAAACCTTGCCTTTGCCTAGCACTTCAGAGCTGCTAGAGTTCCCCATGTACACACGTTCACATGTGTTCCCATCCTTGAATTCGGTGAAAAACTCCTTTCTTGCACAGAAATGCTTTGAAGCGCCAGTGTCAACTACCCATTCCGAACTGTTTTCCACCAAATTAACTTCTGAGACCACCGCAGAAATGATTTCATCATCTTCTTCTACAACATGCATCTGCGGCTTGTTGTCATTCTGGCGGTCTGAGCGGTGTTTGTATTGGTAAGCTTTGTGGCTGGCTAAACCACAAACATAACACTTTAACATCTTTCCTTCAGGTTTGGCCTTTCCTGACTTCTTGAAGTTGGTAGCCTTCTGAGGTTTTGTCTTCTTGTCTTGATTCCCTCGTTTCTTGAATCTAGACTCAACCAAGTTAGCTTTAAAAGATAAATTACTTAGAGAATTAGTAACTTTATCTTTTAAACGATTGGCTTCTTCAATCTTCATATGGCCCACCAGCTCTTCAAGTGAAATTTCTCTCTTCTTATGCTTAAGAGAATTGCGATAGTCGATCCAAGACTTGGGCAGCTTCTCAATGAGAACATTGGCTTGCAGTACCTCACACATTTGCATCCCTTCGGAAATGATGTTAACGACTAAGTTCTCATAGTCATGGACTTGATCCATTATCGGCTTATCATCTGTCATCTGGAATTTGAGCCATTCGCCGACAACGTACTTTTTGATACCTGCATCGTCCGCACCATACTTTTTCTCCAGAGTGTCCCATATTGCCTTGGTACTCCTTTCTCTAAGGAACATATCAAATAATTTATTTGACATGTGACTGAGTAGATGTCCTCGTACCGTTTTGTTGTCTTTCTCGTATTTCTCGTAGGTAGCGAGTGCGGCGGCGGTAATTGCTAAGGCATCATCATTCAGGACCGCATATGCATCATTACCGATAGCTACGGTTGGCGGCATGGTAGGTGGTGGCTTGAGCAGCACATAGTCAAGATCAAGCTGCTCGAAGAATATCAGGATTCTTTGGGACCACCTTCTATAATTCTTTCCATCAAGTGCATCGAGCTTGGAAAGATCGGGAATTAATTTGCTCAAAGGTGTTGTCATGATTGCAGTATAAAAGAAATTCGTTTCTAAATTGTTAGAAATATGGACTGCAAAATAACACCGTTAGCACTGACAAGAAAAATAAATAATAATTTAAAAGAAACAGATTGATAAATCATGTCGTGGTAAAACCACTGCCTTAGAAACGAATTCGCCCCGGTGTGTGTAATCGCTGCAGTAGGCGGACCGTTCCCCCGAGGTTAACACGGCTCTCCAAGAATTCGTACACCCGAAAACTGGAGTGAACTTGGTTGTATTGCTCTTCTCTCAACTCAAACAATACTTAAAAGAGAGGAATGTTTTCAAAGCAAATATTTTGCTTGGGATATGTCAAAATGAATGAAATTGCTCTCTATTTATAGGCTAAATAGTGAAGGTAAAATTGTCATTTCCAATACTAGTGGAATAACCTAATTTTAGCATTATCATTATCAAAATTGAGCATTGTCAAGAAATGACAATTTACAATGCTAGTTGAATTAGTATTATCATTATCAAAATTGAGCATTATCAAGAAATGACAATTTACAATGCTAGTTGAATTAACATTATCAAGAAATGACAATTTACAATGCTAGTTGAATTAGCATTATCAAGAAATGACAATTTACAAAGCTAGTTGAATGAGCATTATCAAGAAATGACAATTTACAATGCTAGTTGAATGAGCATTATCAACAGTATCTTTGTTTTCCGTCTATAGTAGAAGATGGTGACGTGAAAATATGGCCTAAACATTTGCGATTGTGAAGTTAAAGATGCTGTACCGTACTAGAGTTTGATTCAAGATTATCCATTGATCCCATCCTTGTAAATATACGATCAACTACTCTAATTTTTGCAAATTGGGCTGGAACATAGCAGCCAATCTGAGCTAGAATAATTATGAGACACACTTGTTGAAGATAAGTTCTGTTCCCACTCCATGTTGGAGAAAATAGATAGCAAGGGTTTCACTCAAAACAAAACAAAAAAGAGATGATAATGAGATTCAGTTTCCATGAAAGAGTTTCTTACATGTTTGGTCCCGTTAATATTTGATGCTTCAGAAATGAAGATGATGTTGGGCTGCAAACCAAAAGCATTTAAAAAAATATTAAAGGTATCAAAGAACTTTAAGAAAACTAACTTTTCAAAAAAAAAAAAAAGAAAGGAAAAGAAAACTCCATGGCACAGAAAGTTCAATTATTAATATATGATAGCAGTGTTATTATCCGACTTCAATAAAAAATCTCATGAAAGCAGTAAAATTACTTCTTAATTACTATACAAAAGAATATACACAAAATCACTGTGTATGCTTTCTAGAATGGGGTGTCTTCCGGCGTCAATTGCCAGAGGGCCATTATTTGCGAGCAACTAATAACAATTAAATTTACCCTATTCAATCCAGGAACATGAAAAGAATACATATTGGGAAATTGACAAATAAAATACCAGTAAATCCAGGCCTACTATATCGGTCAAAAGGCTTGGTAGATATTTCATGCGCAAATGAATTAACAATCATATCTAAGAGGCGCAGTGCTTCAGCAAGAAGTGTGAACAGAGAGATGTCCTCCCTTATGGCATCAATTAGGGCTGCAAATCACAAAGTTAACACAACTAATGAATGAAACAATTAAACTATTAATAACATGGAGAAAAGGTACCATATGTGAATCAAAATTTAACAGCTCAAGCTTTACCAGAGTCTTTAGGAGTTAGGAAATAAGGCCGGGGGGGATAATCTATTCAGGAAGACTGAAAATGCTTTTCAAAAGTTGGATTGCATGCTCGATCCTCACAGGCAACCCTCTGTAATCATTAGGATCAAAACAAACCTTTATTGCCACACAATTCCGGTATTTTTAATCCAGTTAAGGTAGACATCAACAAAACCAAGTTTCAGAAGAATTCACATGATAAGATACAAATGGACAATTAAAACTTGTCAGACATTGAAAATAAGCAGTCGATTACAAACCTTCCAAGCAAAATTCTGTTCGAACATAGCACTCAGCAGCTGCAGATTTGTTTCTGACATTCAACTGCAAATTATGCAATTTACATAGAGTAATCAAAGCACTTTTTAATACCCAGACAAGCTGATTAAAGTACATGTGTTAAAAACAGTGGCATGCTGATATTGACAAACAAAATTTGGCTACACAGCAACAAAATCAATTGGTAAAATATATTTTCAAAAAATACATATCGCCAAGCAAAGGCACTAAAATCAGGTCACTTGCAACAAAAAATTATAAAAGCTGCCAATGCAAGAATTGAAACAAAAAAGAAAAGGAAAATCACATCAGTAGAATTTCAAATATATTTTCAGTTCACCGTGTACTTTCTCAGGAACTAAACGGAGTTACCTCTTTAGCTCTGTTTTCAATGAGACCGATCACGAAGCTCGACCTATCTCCCACATCGTCTTCCATTCTGATTAAGCGCCAAAAAGTTAAACGCCAAAATTCGAATTGGCGCTAAAGCCTGTGATGTTTATTTGCATCGACAACCTTACTAAAATCAACATGGTGCATAACGCTTGTTAACATGCGCACCCCGAAAGGAAACAATCGCAAATGATAATTTAGTTGGTCCATTTTATCGGTTTAAATAATTGAATTTCTCTTGTTAGTTCTTTATTAATTTTATTAATCCTTGTACTAAAAAATATTATAGATTTCATTCAAATAATCTAATTTTATAATTTTAAATTTCGATCCTAAATTAAATAATAACCATGAAATTTGTTAGGTGAAATTATATAATTAATTCATGTATTATGCATAAAATATATATTATACTTTTCAATTTGATCATTTTAAGTTCTTATAATTTAACCTTGTCACATTGTTTGGATCATATAACTGAAATTTCAAAATTAAAAAAGAATGAGGACTAAAATTATCCAAATTAGAACACGAGGAGTAAATTTACAATTTATGCAAAGACTAATGACAGAATTTGCCCAAAACATGAGTTCTTTTTTTTGGCTTACGAGTGAAGTAAAAAAAAAAGGATATTATTTAATTTTGCAAACTATTATGTGGGTTATTTAATCATTTGCAAGTATACAACAAAGTAGAAAGTGAATAACAATAATTATGGTGAATTTGGCTTTTCCGACCATGGTGACAATTACATAGAAGCTTAACAATTATGTTCATCCAAGACTTCCTCGATGCTAACAAACTGGCCCTTCTCGATGGAACGCTGTGCTGCAACTCCCATGGCAACCGAGATCAACCCATCATTCAAATCCACAGCCGGAGCCTTTGCACCTTTTTCTCTAATTGCAGACAAGAAGTTAAGGTGCTCCAAATAGCTAGAACCGTGATGCAATCCTTCATACCTGAAAAAAAACATGGCAGTTCTGGATCAAGTTGAGAGGCTAGCCATAATCTATTAACTTGATCATGCAGGATTGAGAAAAAGCATGTTCGGAATTAGTAAAAGAGAGCGGCCAACTTTATTCGTTCATCCTCGGCTTTTAGTGTATGGACCCCGTCTCTACCGTCGGTTCTAGAGCCGACACGAACAGTACTTTCGGGAATGAAGGCTTCACCCTATTGCAGCATTCATTGTTCGAATCAAAATTAGAGAATAACTATTGATGTAATTAACTATTAGAAAGGAAGAATGACAACACCAGAAGTTGAAGCTTAAGAAAAGTGAAGACCTTGCCGGTGTGACCAACAACAGATATTTCTTGCTCATTTTTACTCCCTTCAGCAAACATGCAGAGGTCGAGCATCCCTCGAGAACCGTTGTCAAATTCAATAATAACATATGCATTGTCGATAATGTCCGGTACCTGCATAAAACGAAAAAGAACTGAAGTTCAGGAAACATGAGCATGATATCAAGTCTATATCAAGCAAAAAAAAAAACTAAGCATACTACGACCTTTCCATCATATATTTCATCTTTGTGATTAACATCCATGGCACCAGAAGCCATCACACGAACCGGTTTCGCGCCTGCAAAGAGCCTCATCAAATCGAAGAAGTGACAGCACTTCTCTACCAGGGTGCCTCCCGTGTTAGCGTTGAACCGATTCCAGTTGTTAACCTATTACAAGAACAAAGAAAATGAACTATCTGGCCAAAATGATGGCAAGGGTCGAGTAGTTAGCTTCACCTTAACCAGAAAAGGGAATCGATGTTCCCGAATAGCAACCATCTTGACCTGTCCAAGAGTTCCACTCTTCACTATCTCAATCAATTTAGCAACTGGTGGCATATATCTATATTCCAATCCAACTTGTACCAGCATATCAGGCCTCTTTCTAGCAGCATTTACAACCTAATTGAATGAGAAGCTATATTTATCAGATAAAAAGGAAGAATATTGCACAAGAGAACCAAATTCAGAAGAAATATATTTAAGATAACAGGAAAGCACCCCCGGGATTATTGGAACTTGTTCTACCTCCAGCGATGCCATCCAAAGATATCCTCTGAAAACAGTATCACAATTAGATCTCTCTCAGTCCCACGTGATTTATCAGAGCCAAACCCACTCTAACAACTGTAACTATTTTGTTTAAGTCGGCCTACAGACAGCTGTCGCCATCATAGGTCTGACACTAGCCGTCCTATAACCGAGGATTTATACCCTGGGGAAAGACTGAAAGAGGAGATTTCTCTCTTTTTTCCATCTTCTCACTCTCTGACTAAGAACAATCTTTTCTTCTACGCTATCTTTCTCTTCTTTTCTCTCGCAAAAAATTACCAACTATCAATGCACCGGTTGTGGATAGGGTGAGCTGTCAATTGCGGACACAACTCATTATATCCATCAACAAAATTACATCGACACCTTTACAAATTACACAGTGCTAGAAATAGTGAAAGACTTACTCCAGGGAACAAGTAACTTTTTTACAGTTTCAAATTCAAACAGAAAAGTTTCTCTCTTTTCATTTTTTCCAACACTGATTCAGTATAATTCCGATGTTCATCTTTTACCATTCAAATTCCAGCATTACTGAAAACGTAAAAAGATGGATGGACTGGAGCACAGGGATGAACCATCAAACATGTAGGTACACATTTTTCCTAGGATGCGGAATAGTTATAAAACAACTGTACTGTAGGACAAACTAAATTTGAAGCTACCATTGACATCGAAATTTAGCATTAAATCATTAAATATAAGCAACCAAAATATACTAGATTCCAAACTCAAAACAACAACCATTGAAGCACTCAACAATTAAGCTTTTTCAATGACGTCAAATTTTAGAAACTAACAAAATTGAAGCATTTCTTCATATTCTGACAAGCCCAACTTGGGAGAGTAGTGAAATTTTTTTGAGTTAATTGAGTCATATTTTATTCGAGTCAAGTCGAGTTTGAATTTCTATTTAAATTTAATTATAAATATTTATAATATTATAGTAGTAATTGATCCAAATTGAAATGTCTTTCTATAATCATATACGATATACATATATATTTTGTTATATTTTTTCATATGTGAATGATATATCATGCATATTTTAACCATATTTTATAAGTCAAACTTTATTCGAAAATTTTTCGAGTACAGTGGGTTTAGGAAATAATAAGACTTTTAACTTCAAATTGAGCTGAGAAATCCATTTTTTTTTTAAAATCAAGTCATATTTTGCTCACTGCTAATTCCAACATCTATTCGGAAAACATTGAGAGCGCCACAAACAAATATGTGTAAATGAAAACTTAGAGCTTAATAGAAGAAACTAATGACTAACCTTACTGCAGTCAGCGACAGTAGTACACAATGGTTTCTCAACTAGCACATGATGGGGTTTAGGATGGGTCAAAATATCCATCAGAATCTGATAATGAGTCATATTAGGGCTCGATACGACCGCCACATCACACATCCCACTGTTCAGTAGCTCCTGATGCCCCGAGAAAACCTTCACATGAAGTATAAAAACAACCCAAATCACTATCTTTTATGTCGAAGTCTTACAATTTCTTGTAATCTGAAAGGAACTTTAGAAATAATTTGCACTTGAACAAAACCCGTACCTTAAGTGGCCAATCAAAGGATTGAGCCAGTTCCAAGGCGAGTTGTTGAGAGGGGATGTGAGGATCAGCTATGCAAACAACGACCACTCCTTGGCTTCTAAGATGGTGAAGATTAATGAGATGTTCTCTTCCCATCATCCCTACTCCAATGATTCCATACTTCACTGTTTCACCGGATGCCATGCTTGGAAGACTTGAACTCAACTTCGGAATCTTCTGTTATTTTCCCTCTTTATATTAGATTTGGGAGATGTAGTTTCAGTTTCAGGACTGAGTTTTTAAGAATCCATGCTCCTGCGGTGGCTCGCTTGTCGTCGTTCTTCTATCTCCGGACTTTCATCTTTTGAAATTGGGTCCGGTCGTTTTTATCAAATGGCAATACTATCAGTTTTCAGCAATAATGTCAGAAAAATATATATAAAAATATCATAAAATATAGGTCAATTCGTTTACTACTTAAAATATCAATTTGTTTTTACTATACGTTTGGTTTACAGAATATAAGATTATCAGTGTGAATATAAGATTATCAGGGAAATTTAAGATTACCGTGGAATAAGATTACTGTGAATGTTGTATTTTGTGTTTGGTTGGTTTAGCAGGAATGTAAGATTACCGTGTTTGGTTAAAAGAATAAAAGATTATTATAATATATATTTGATCAAATTATCCTTATTATATATTTATTTTTTTAATAAGTTAAAAAATATTTATATATTTTCTTTAAAAAATTTAAATTCATAAAATTTATAATTTTTTTATAAAATTAAAAATATAAAAAGATTTAATAAAAGGATAAAATTTTATTTTAACCCTTGAACTTCATATAAAATTTTAATTATAGAATTTTTTAGTAAATCTAAAATAATTTAAGTATAAATTTGTAATTTAACCTTCGTAGAATTTTTATTATTAAATGACAGAAGAAGAATATTTTTGAAAAAAAAATAAGGGCATTTTTGTCCAAAATACCGGTAATCCAACAATACCTAAGGAAACGAAGGTAATGACATTCCCGGTAATATACCCAAAAAATATACTATTAGTAATAAAACATTACCGGAAATGAGATTCTCGACCAACCAAACATAGGAATGTGGATTTCATTCCCATGAGAATCCCACATTCTTTGATCCAAACACTCCCTTAGTATCTAAACTTTGGGATAAATGAAATATATGTTTAGTACCTAAATTATTAGATTTAATTTATTTTAATACTTTAATTTTTAATTTATTTAAAATTATACTTGAAGTTTAATTTTTATTATTTTAGTAACCCATTCAAAATTTAATTTATACTTTGAAAAAAATTAAAACTTTAAGTACTAAATCAGATCAAAATTAATAGTTTAGATATTAAATGCGTAGTTAACCCAAAATCTAAAAATATCATAAAATATTGGATAAACTTCACGTTTAGTATCTAAACAATCAATTTTGATCCATTTTAATACCTAAACTTTTATTTTTTTTAAAATCATACTTAATATTTAGTTTTTATTTCATTTTAGTATCCATTAAAAACTTAACATTAAGTTTTGTAAAAAATTGAAAGTTTAGATACTAAAACGAATCAAAATTGATAGTTTAGGTACTAAATGCGTTAAGTTTTTAATGAAATGGTACTAAAATGAAACAAAAACTAAACGTTATATATGATTTTAAAAAAAATGAAAGTTTAAGTATTAAAATAGACCAAAATTGATAGTTTAGATACTAAATGTCTATTTTACCCTAAACTATAACTAAAGGTACAACTAATAATTTATTTTTAAAAAAATTATAATTATGCATTTTAAAAAAAAAATCATATATATCTAAAATACAACTACCAAAAATTCCAAAAGAATTGAAAAAAAACTAAGTATTATTTTTCAAAAAGTCAAAAATGCAAAAGAATGTTATTATATTTAAAGAAAATAAGAGGAAAACCCTCAATCATTTAAAATGTTCTTGAAATTTTGAGAAGAACTTAAGTCCTAAAATTATCTATCCAAAACTCAAATAAAATCATAAACAATAATGATGTGGACAAATACAAGTCCAGTTCATCTCATCTGTCCCGCACCATCACGTATTTAAATATAAGATGAATTTGGATGAATATACGTGTAAATTCATTTTAGAAGAAGACGTTTTGCCTTTGGTTCTTCTAATAAATTTTAACAAATTCTTCCTTGTAGTTTTATATTATAAAAAAATCCTTGAATTTTCATGATAACAGTGGTTTTTAAAATTTTCTAAAAAAATGTTATAATTTGAATTTTAAATAAACCAAAAAAGTAATGATTGAAAAAAAAAAGATTTTTAAAATACTTTAAATTATTATTAAATTGGTTCAATGGGTCAAATTATATGTACATGTCGTCAATCGAAATTAACAATGCTAATGATCAATTTGTATTTTTATAATTTGATTGAATATCAAAATGTAAATGTTCAATACATGTTTTCTCCCTTTACTACAGACAAATTCTCTATTTGGCCCCTCAAAAATATTTCTATCATTTTTTTTCTTTGCATTTTCTCATTTATCATATTATTTCTATCTCAAATTTAAGGTAAATTATGTCAACTTAGACACGTCATTCAAGGCCATTTCGTCTTACTGGGAAATCAAAAACGGGGCCAATAGGGGTCCATTGTTGATCTGGAAGCAATGAGCTTTTAACATCGATGTCAGTTTATTAGCGGCCCTTCCTCGTAACCTATCTTTTGTACCCAAGAGAATTTTAGGGTAGGTCAGTACAAAGACTTGCTGATACACTCTTAAGGGCAAGGGATCTGTTGTAGGTCAAATGGATGACTGGGAACTTGTCCTTAGTGAAATGGAAGACTTGTATAGAATTGATAATAAAAAAGGGAAATCCAACTCACTTCAGCACCATTACAGATACAAATTTGGGGCCTCCCTCTACAATACCTTTCACCGCAAAATGCAAATATTATTGTCAATGCAGTGGAAGATGTTCAGGAGATATAATGGCAGAATACTTTCCCTACGAACATCAGTTATCTTCTAGTTGAAGTGCGGTTAAATTCGTGGCTAACCTTGTTTGCTTGCGACCTGCTTCAACGAGAATTGAGACGAAGCCAGAATCTGGATAAATTTAGAGATGGAATTTGTAAGCCGTGCAGACACTCTGTAATGCTAGGTCACACCTTCCCTAACTGTTCTATTGATAACAGAAAGGTTGAGAATAAATTGAGGATCAATTCAACGGTATAAGAAGATTTGGCTATGAAACTGGATTAGGTCTATTTGAAATTTTATTTTTATCAATTCTCTACAAGCTTATCACAGTAGAAGCCACCCCAAAAACTCTAGAGTGTATTATCCCAACCCAAAGAAAGTTAATCTGGATTTGGTCAACCACTTAGACCTGAGACATAACTAGTTCTTTTACTAGTAATTATAATTGCCCGAGACATAAACTAGTTCTTCTACAAGTGATAGTTCCCACATGGATGTTCCCTGATGATCCTCAGCAAACATGCCCTAGCCTATGCTCCACCTTCATTCTTAAATCTCACCGTGAAAAATGACCCCATCACCTAAACCCCAAATGCCCATGGAACCATTGCACTACTATGTGATGTTACAAATTGCAATGTTTTGAATTCCAATGAACCACAATTGATATCCCTACCCTTGGTTGAAGAGTTTCTCACAAATGTGAGTATCATCAACTTGGGTACCTCCGCAAAGTTGCTACGATGTCCTACCAATAGTCCAATACATAAACTAGTGGATAAAGGGAACATGTTCTTTTGCTAATATTGCTAAAACATTGTCAATCTACAACAATTCAGTTCAGATGAACCACCGAAAAAGTGCTACCATGTCCTAGCAACAGTGCAATCAATACATAAACTAGTCACTACTGAAACAAGTAAATTACGGGAATATATTCTTTTTGCTACTATTTCAATAATATATCGTCCCATTGTAAAGGAAACTGTAAATCTAAAAATTTCAGTTCAAATAAACCACTGCAAAGGTACTAGCATGTCCTATGGATAGACCAATACATAAAATAGTGGAGTAAAGGAACACGTTCTTTGCTACTACTCTTGACATGAAACATATCCTCCCAAATAATGATCAATTTAATCATTCAAACAACCTCTTATGAATGCATCTCATCAGAAACAAGTTTGACATCAAGAAAATGAATTGGGAACAAAGGAATCTTTTAGATAGCTTTAGAACCAGCTCTAAGCTAATTTGTAGTGCCAAAAAATGTCCTTGTTTGGTTAACCCCACCAGCAGACCATGCTAATAGTGATATAACTAAGCATATCCACCCAAAACACCAACCAAAGAAAAACATAAGATGCAAGCTTTTTTGCAGTCCATGGAACACACAACAGAGACCCTATCAAAATGCCATTTTCATCACACAAAACATGAAAGGAAGAACCTATAGATGCTGCAGAAAGGAAATGCCGCTACATGATAGATGCTAGTGACTATACATACCTAATCAAATGCATATATAAACAAAAGACCTTTATAAACTCAAATTAGTAGCAAGACAACCAATATCATAGATTTTATATATTACGGTGCTAAATAGGTAACCTAATCAAAATCCATAAATTGAACAAACAACACATTTCATCTTTTAAACTTCAATTAATACTCAAACAACCAACACAAAATAGGACTGAGGGTTTAATAAACCATTTACATTTTTGTATCTGCAGCTCAATCAAGGCCTTCTTTCAACACTTCCCTCATCTTCCTTCAAATTCAAACCACCAATTTCGTGTAAAAAATATCTCTCTTCAACCAATATCTTTATATTAAAACTTTGTTCCTGAAATGCCAACACCAAACATAAATACCAATTTGTCATGTAAATAAAACACACTTCATTCCAAACAAAGTCCAAAGTTGTTAAATCTCCAGAACTGAGAAATGGAGAAACGAACCTCAATTAACCCTAGATCTAATTTGACAACAAGTGTTTCAAATTAAGAAGGGAAAAATGATAATCTCTTTAATGGAAATGTAGCATTTAAGTAAAGGCACACCTACGTCTGTTTGGAATAAGAGGAAGAGGAGGGGACACGTTTGTTACGGAACATCATGTATCCGACTGGCAATACAACTGCGATCAGCATGACCGCTGCTCCGATGATATATCTTAACGGACTCGGTGGTTCAACCTCTATCATTGTTTTGAACTGCACCGCACGCAACCATAACACAAGATTAACTATCAATTGAACATACAATTAGAAAAAATAAAAACAAAACAGCATCGTCATCTTAAACTTCAAGATTTGGATCGAACCGTTGAAAGAGACTTACGGAGATTATTTTGGGGGGCTTTTCCTTGTATAACTCTGGTTTGAAACGCGGAGGATTTGTGTCACCGGGCGCATATATTAAGGGAACTAACAGAGAGGCTAATCTGGAAAACCTGAATCTGTTGGGATTCTCAGCAAGCGTCTTACGCTACATAGATACTAAACGGTTTTTTTGCCCCAATACCCAGGTGGGTAAAATACTTAGGATATTGGGCCTACCCAAATTTTATTTAGTAAAATACGATAAATGCTACGGTCCACAATGATCTTGTTGTTTTGAGGTGATGAGTTTCATCTGATATTATTTTTTAATGATCCACATGTAGTGGATCTTATGTGGCCCATTATTTTAATGACATTATAATGACTCGTCATGTCGAGGTGATGAGTCAATTAAAAAAATATTTTTTAAATTTTTTAAATAAAAAAATATTTATAAAATAAAAAAAAATATTTAATAAAACTAGTCACCTTGATGTGACGAGTTCCTTTGAATTCAAAAAAACTAATTGTTGGTTAGCAGTTGTTCAACGGGCAAACGAACAGCGACAGTCACTTGGAACTCTAACCTCGAAGTGATGAGTTTGGCTAGGAATAATTTAAAAAAAAAAATTTATTTAAATTTTACGAAATACAAAATAAATTAATTGTAAAAAATATTTTTTATATGAAAATTACAATATATATATATATATATGTCTTCTAAGTTCTTAACGATGCCACGGAGTGATCAAATGATAATGTCGTGGGGGTCGTCGAGTACGTCGGGGTCATAGGCCTTGATCGTCGTCGTCGTCTTGCCGAGGAGGTGTACCTAACACACTATGAAATCCACATTCGAAATACAGTGATTGATTTATGACATTTGACACCATAATCACTGTAACTGCTTCGACTTGGCTGCTATTTTGTTGACCGTATAGGATATGGTCCCTGTCACCTACAACCGCATGTTTTGTTTAAGATGCTTGAGTGTAATGCGGTGCATCTCATGAACCTCCAAACCAATTCGGTTGAGACCCGGTTGAAGTATGAAATGGAGGAAAAACTGAAACTAGCCTGAGATGCATAATAGTGTTCTTCAACCGCATATGCTGAAGCGGAAGACGACAACGACGATGTTTTATTCTTGGACTTGGTGCATATGGCCTAATGACGTTGCTATTATGCCCTTTATTTCGGTGTTGTGAGTTATGGTTTGGCATTTTCTTTATAAAGCAGAATATAGGGAGAATGGTCGAAATCTAAGTTCAGCAGCGTAATGTCCTGACGATGGGGGAGCGATTCTCGCTGATTCCATAGGTCGATGTAGTAAGCGTATTATACCGACCAAATTTCATTATGTTTCCCACGCGTATCGATTGTATGGAGTGTATCCATATCAACCTCCATTTGTGTAGGAATCGACTGGTGCGTCACAAACTGGAGGCATCACTCTGTCAGCCATATGCCACTCAACAATCGCTTGGTACAAAAAGGACATCACGACACACCATAAGTGGGATCCCTAAAAAATCGCCCCAACAATACATGGTTGATCTCCTTGTCGACAAACGGAAGCCAAGAGAACTGTAAATATTAAATATCAAAATTAGTATATATAAAGTTAAAAATATTAAAAATAATAATAATAATTTTGTATGTCATACTGCGAATTGACCGACGATATCGATCCTCATTTGTATGTCTTGTGCAGTAGCACCCACCAACTTCGTCTCCGATATTTTATGACGACATTTAAAATATTTTAAAATAAAAAAATTATTATAAACAAATAGAAAAATAAATTTATGAAATTCAAAAAAAGTTAAATAAATGAAGTTAAACAATTAACTTCCAGCCAGTGGAAACTCGACCGATACATCAGTAATTGGCATAAAAAAAGGGGAAGTGATACCAAGCCTAGGAATGTAGCATTATCAGACAACATGCCAAATCATCTTTTTTCGACCTCGCGTTACAATTGCAGCATTGCAAAGCTCCTGGTACAGAAATGCTAGAATCGCCGAGCCCCAATTGGTATTACGACACACAACGAACTCTTCCAAAATTTACAGATTATGAGTGTGCATCAGATTAATGGATTTATCCGGTAATAATATCCCTCCTATCACATGAAAAAGAAATGCTTGGGACTCGAAAACAACCTCCGCTTCGGTAGACTCGGTAGTCACTTCGAATTTAGACTCCAACCATGTTATCATTACCCGATAGCCCTCGTGACGTTGGATTGTGGCCATTTTCCCAGAACTTGGTGGATCAACGTTGAGGGGTCGTACATATTTTGCCTCACCATGGGGGCTCAATTCACAGGAACACCGAGTTGGTAAGCGACGTCTTTCAAAGTAATCATCACTTCATCACTTGGGAAATAGAATGTGTATGTTTTGGGGTGCCAACGTTCGATCAGGGCCTCGATCAATGTCGAGTACACCTTGAAGCCACGTAAAAATATAGTAAAAAAATAAACCGGATTGATGCAAATATGTCATCATTTGCTGATGCGACTATCTAGTTGCCATCCCTTGACTACGAATATTTCATTCGTTGTCCGACCCGCGTTAGATCGACGGAAAATGGATGTTATCCAGGCATAACATATATTCTTGGGTTTCCATGTTTTGAGATTTTAGCACAACGTATGTTTTTTTAATTTTTTCGGATCAAGGGTTTGGTGAAAAACCAAAACCCCTATTTATAGCATTGTCCACAATGGCTATAAATGACTAATTTTTTTAAAATCTCAGCCCAACTCTTTACCTCGAGGTGACGAGTTCCAAGTTACTGTTGCTGCCCGTTGAATAACAGCTAGTTTTTTTTTTGAATTCGAATGAACTAGTCAAGTCGAGGTGACGAGTTTCATCAAATATATTTTTTATTTGATTTTATAAATTTTATTTTATTTTAAAAAAATTAAAAATATTTTTTTAATAGACTCGTCACCTCAGCATAATGAGTCATTATAACACCATTAAAATAATGGCCCACGTAAGTCCCACTACGCGTGGACCATTAAAAAATAATATCATATGGAACTCATCATCTCAAGGTGACGAGTTCATTGTGGATTGTAACATTTACCGTATTTTGCTAAATAAAACTTGGGTAGGGCCAATACCTTAAATATTTTACCCACATGTGGTATTAGGCCAAAAAACCCATACTAAATTGGCATAGTCTATCACAAAGTTCCTAAAGTTTTTTTTTCTTAGTGTGCAGTTCAAAAATGTCATTAAATTATGCTTAATTTTTTTGTATAGTTAAATATTTAAAAAATATTAAATAAATATTAAATTATTTTTTTATTATAAAATATAAATCATATTCTTAGTTATTAAAGGTTTTCTTGTGAAATAAATTAATACTTAAGCCTCTATGAAAAAAATATTTAGGGTCAAATTATTGAAAGACTACCGATAAACCGTAAATCAAACTTGAGTGACGTGAAAAGCTATTCAAGAATGTAAATCGGGTATCAAAATCCAATTCGAGTGTCTAAAGTAGGGAATATCACAAGATATTAGGTAAGCGCCGTCTTGATCAGTCGTGGCGATATCAAATCAATCCTTAAAAAAAAGATAAATAAAAGAATGATCAAAGAATTGAAAAACATGCCAAAAAACATAAAAAAAACGTGCCATAAAGATAGAGGAAAACGTAAAACACAAACAAATTATTGTCAATTGTGTACCTATGAGCTATTTCATGTCTAAACTCAAGCTTCCTACTTGCCCTGATGCCAGAGAACCAGCTTTCAACCCAATAACCAAAGCTATAACATAAGCCTATAGGGCGTTAAAAATCTTTACAATGCTCAATGAAAATGAATCCGACCTTAGTGTAAAATAAGTCCGAATCACACTCTTTGTTTCCTATTGACTGCTTTTGCTGTTTCTAACCTTACTTTCTCGATTGACTTAACTGCGACAGCATGCAGGCGAGTAGCCACAAGATTTCTTGTAGGAAAAAACATATAATCTTGTAGAAAAAACACTAATTTGCAAAATTTTATTCCAGCTGTCAAAACACTAACAAGATTAATGGAGACTTGGAGAGTAGCCACAATATACTTTAGAAGCAGGCAACTACCTGGTCCCATAGAGTAGGGAAAGCTTTTGCCTTGTTTACTTCACATTCTTATGTTTGAACATTTATGTTTCCTTTGAATTCAGTCACTTCCATTTACATGAGCTATCCCTCTTGAGTTTGGCCACTTTCATTACGACTTCATCATATAACCTTTGTCGGGAAGTTTGTTTTCCTTGTCAGCTTTGAATGTTTTTAAACAAAGGAATATGAATGTGAAAGTTTGAATAGCGTATAGAGTTGCAGACATACAAGAAATGGGCGGTTTCCGATTAGATCAGGAAGGAGGAGCTGCAGCAGGAGGAGGAAGAAAGAAAGAGACCGAAGATTCTTCTTGGTCACCAAATCTACATATTCAGGCTCAACATAGGCGTTCCAAGAGGTGACCTTTTTTTCTTTCGATTCTCTATGGTATTGCCCTTGCTTGATAAGCAAGTGGAAGACTTGGGATCTTGTTTTCTTTCGGTGCGTCTGACAGAAATATCGGTGTTTCGAGAGACGAAGTTTCGTATAATGCTAAGAAAGTGCAGAATGTACTACATGTGAGGATACATTTTCTGGCTTCAAGCTTTTCCAATTCTTACATTTTAGAATTATGAATAAGAATTTTGAATACTTCTTCATCTGTGATTTACCCTTTTATTGTTTTTTCAAATGTGAAAAGATGCAGGCATCTCCATTATCGACAAGAGTTTACAGGACTCGAAGTCCTCTTCATGACAGCTCTGCTTATTGCAACATGATTACATCGTTGAACGCGAGCCTCATTAGAGAAAGATGTAAGCCTTGAAATTATATGTTCTCCTTTGATAAATGTGGCAGAGATGAATCAATGTGCATTAACTCGGTGCTAAATTATGCATAATCTGGAAGGCCAAACCCTTTTAATTATACTTTTGTTGGGAAAGTAAATGGATAATGACCCTATATGTCAGTGACGAAGCCAAAATTAAATAATGACAGGGGTCGAAATATTATATTATTTAAGAAAAATATGAAGACTTATTAAGTATTTAAACTTAAAATTCAACATGAACAAGCGACCTTTGTGATTAAGGGGATTATTGTTATCCTAGAGGTCTCGAGTTCAAGCACTTCATATGTAGGGGTATCAGCATTCATTGTCAAATAGTTGAAAGTTTTTGTACATCACTATCTTGTATTCACCTTAAATTTATAATAAAAAACTTTAAATTCACAAGACAACTTCTAATTTGTCTAATATTCAAACTTACAATGACCTAAATTGTAATTAGACTAAAAATTAGAGAACACATACTTATCATTCTTTAGTTCGACCACTACTTGATTAATATATTTAATATTTTTTATTTTTTATATTTTAAAATTTAAATATTTATTTTTACATGAACCAAAATACTATTAAACTAAAATTATATCGAATATACAAATTTTAACAGGGGCCGGGGGCCCTTGCGCCCTAAGGGAGCTATGTCCCTGCTATATGTATTCCATGAGAGACTTGCCATGTGCACATAAACAATGGATCAATGGCTTCTAAATGCTGAATAGCTGTATGATATATCTCTTTGCTGCATATGTTTCAACAATAGCATAACCATGATTTTCCCGTTTTCAGATAGAACTGCTGCAATTATGTTTGAAACAAGAAAAATCTATGCGACTTATGCTGGAGAGAGCGATGGGGCGGGCTTCAAGCACTGTCTCCAGGACACAGGCATTTCGCTACGCAGGTTACTTTATTTCTGTGTTGTTGATGAAAACCGATCCTCGGCAAATATTTTAATGTTTTTTTCTCCAATATTTGTTTAATCAAACAAGAAACTCCCACATTGTTTGACTTGCAATGTAAAGGTGTGTGCTTTGTTTAACGTTCAGCATGTGAGCTATGGAAAAAGCTGAAAATAACTTGACAACTACTGGTTAATTTCAGACAAAGGAATTGATTGCGGAGATCGAGTTACTTGAGGAAGAGGTCGCGAACCGTGAGCAGCATGTGCTCTCTCTCTACAGGAATATTTTTGACAATTGCGTTAGTCGGCAACCTTCCGAGCAGAGCTCAGGCAATGCTTCCCCTGCCCATATGAGGCATACATCAAGGAAACACCCGAGTATTATTTCAAGTGCATTTTGTTCTTCGAAAAAGTTCAATCTTAGACCTTTGCAAGCTCTATTTTCGACGAATGACTCTGGGAAAAGGATCTCTAGAAGCATTGATGCTTCACAGTTGTGTGGAAAAACCGACATTCTATTTGACAGGACATCCTCACACCTAGTTAAGGACTACGCATTTCGTTTATTACTGTGTGCATCATATGGCTTGTCCGTCATATATCGGCATTAATGTATGTTGTTCGGATGTTCTTATTCCATGTATTTTCTAGGTTCATGAAAAGATTCAAGTTATGGAAAAAAACCTCGGTGTTGCGAACTCTGAAAGATTATCTCCATCAATGTCCAAGCAAGCTGTCGGAGGAGATGGTCAGATGTATGGCAGCAGTATATTGTGGACTTCGTAGTGCAACATCTTCGAATTCTGAGAAATAGCCTTCGTTGTCAAGGTCGTCAACTAAGGTTGTACTTCCCAAACGCGGCCTTGAAGAGGACCAGGATTTCTCTTGCACACCCAATGTTTAAATATCTTGGATATCAACCGATAGGAACTGATTTTCTCGAGCATCTCATGCCATTAGTAACTACAGGTTGGTTAGAGAAATACTGTCTTATAAGGAAAGTAAGATACACATTGCAGCATAAATCTTGTTGGAAACTCTTCCCTGAACACAAGCTAAAGAAAAACTTCTGCTATGTTTACTTCTCTTGCATTACTTTGTCGATTTCAGAGCTCTGGTGGAACAACAAGAAAAAGTGACAGTGAGTCAGATGGAATATGATGCCCAAATTGCATTCTGGATCAATGTGTACAATGCCCTTGTCATGCATGTAAGCTTAAATTTATTTACCAGCCCCTTGATTGTCTCTTTCTTTTACTATCATAAACTCTCAAGTCTTCCTTGTGCAGGCATATTTAGCATATGGAAGTCCTCACAGTTCCTTGAGACGGTTAGCCTTGTTTCACAAGGTATTCCTTTACTGGGGTGGATGCATCTTCGGCATTCTTTCATTATGATTTAATCGGCTATTAGGTGATGAAATCGATAGATTTTTCTGTATAGTGCAGGCTTCATACACCATAGGTGGCCATGTCGTAAGTGCAAATGTAGAGCAGTCGATATTTTGCTTCTGTACACCTCGAACCGGACGGGTATAACATTTGGAATCTAATAGTAATATACAGAACGCCAGTTTCCTGCACATGTTTTATCTGTTTTTACCAGTGGCAAGAGATCATCCTATCCACAGCCTTAAGGAAAAAATCTGGCGAAGAAAGGCAAATTATCAGTTCAAAATTCGGTCTTTCATATTCCCAACCACTTGCCTGTTTTGCTCTATGCACTGGAGCTTTTTCTGATCCTGCGGTAATCTCTTCTTCTCTTTTACATTGTATTGCAGTAGGATCTTCAGTGATTTTCATCTCATTCAAAGTCATATTATTCAAACTAACCTGCAATTTGTAGCTAAAAGTTTACACGGCATTGACTGTTAAAGAAGAGCTAGATGCTGCAGCAAGAGAATTTCTCCAAGCAAATGTAGTTGTTAAGACGTCAAAGAAAGTATTTCTACCCAGAGTTCTCGAAAGGTTCGCTAAAGAAGCCTCGATTGGCTCCAATGATCTACTGAACTGGATTCTCCAAAACGTCGACAAGAAGTTCCACAATTCAATACAGAAATGTATGGATTTCAAATCCAAGAAGGAAACCATCGCAGGTCATTGACTGGTTGCCTTATAGCTCAAGATTCAGGTATGTTTTCTCGAAAGACTTATTTAGCTCTGGGATTGTGATAAGCCTTGAATTTTGGCGTGGTATATACAATTTGATACTAAACTTCTTTGTTATATACATATTTACGCTGTAATTATGTAATCTTCTTTACTTAAAGTTCTAGAGCCAGATCCTTAACAACAATTCACATCAGGTGCTGACATGGTCCAATGAAAAATGGCCATGTCAGCATTAGTGGTTTTGTCTTATCTTTGGATAATCGTTATCTTAAACAAATGCTTTTAATTTTTTTATCCGATTTACGATTATATTCTTTCCTTGAGAATATTATATGCTTTATTAATGCACTCATCATTTAAGCACCGAATCTAACCCTGAATTTCGACAACACCATCGTTGAACTCAACGTACAGTGTTTTTGTATGTCAACCTCTGATTTGAACACGTTTTCATTTGAACATTGACATTTATGCTTTATTTGACTAATACAACTAGTTTCATAAAGCAAAAAAATATATATACCAAAATAGATAATTGGTTAAACAAAAAGGTGTTTTTTAGGATTATGAATATGATTTTCAATAAGTTTTACACTCTTGTTAGAGTTTCAAAACTCTCCCTTAAATTTTGAATTTTTACAAAAGTGTCCCTCAATCATATCTTCTCCGATTAACGTCCGATTTGGTAATGATTAATTTTGAATTTTATAGTTTTGATTAAGCACGTGTTTAAACACGTTATTACTAAATAATATCCATGTTTTGAGAATCTTCTACAAGTCTAGTTGAACTTTATAATTCAATCCTTAAAGTTTTAAAATTTGTAAATTAATGGTCTTTTTTCAAATTTGATTGACATGGTTCTATCATGATTGTTATAATGTTAATGTAGTAAAGTGAATATCTTGTTAATTGTTTTTCATGATATTGGTTGGTAATATATTTTTGATTAATTTGAAGTCATTTTAGTAATTAACAATTTAATATGACACATTCTATTCGACTGTACCTCTAAGTAGAGTAACAGGCATTACACCTTCTATAACAGACTCACTTTGAGTTCCATACTGACTAGATCCAACTTCATAAGCACATGTAGGTTCGAAATAAAGTAGGTTAGAGCTCGGGTCTAGCGTAGTTGTATTCAACAACTATTGGTGTAATTGACTCTTTTTTAAACAACGAGA